TATATGCAGAACCAACAAAAGGCATTGTTTTCTTAATTAGCTTTCCAACGGGGAAAAAAACCTTTTTTAGCAATTCTTTTTCCAGCAACATAATTTAATCTACATATTTAGCGAGAAGTTAAGATTAAACGAGAACGAGTGTACTGATTCATGAATCTAGTTTTGCATATCATCTTTCTAATTTTAATAAAAGCACTCTATTCAAGATAGAGCGCCTGAATAATATATAAATCATCATACAAAGATTTCCTATGAATAACAATCAGAATTTACATAACAAAACATCTGCTAATTATACAGCCTAAACTCCGTACATATACTTTTTTTCTCAAACCCTAGGAAAATTATCTGCCGTGGAGGAAAAAAAACAACAACAATTAAAAACCTAGTAGAACCAGTATCTAAAGTAATAATTCCGATGGGTTATTCTTTAGATCTTCAATCCAATACAATGATCAAGAACTTTCCCCCCTTATTTTTTATGGTAGATGACCAATAATAAAATTTAAAAAAATCTTTATTACTACCCAACAAAGATCTACAATAGATCTAAAATACTAGATAAATATGGAGTAAAAGAGAGAGGAGGAACTCACATTACAACTGGAAAATAAAATTTTATGTGTTGAGGGCCCAATTGATCAAAATTTTTTTTTTCAATAAAAGAAGAAGTATACAATGGAGGAACCAAGGATTGAAGAGATATAATAGAGAGAGTCGATTATGAGCGACGGAGACGAAGATGAGAATCGGAGGTTTATATAGGGGGCGAGGGGAAAGAGGGTTACAATGCCCACGCGGACTACTTTTCTTAAAGTTTGTCTCTATCTATGAATAGCCAGAGAGAGAGTTTTTTAAAAAAATGACAGCTAGGCTACTATTTATAGAAAAGATTCCTTATAATCGTTCAATGACTTTGCAAACCCAAGACAAAATATGTCTAGATTACCATAATACAAGGAAGTGATCTAGAAGCATCCGAAAAAGAAGAAGAAGTATCCCTTATACTTGTTCATTGCAAATTTCCGAATACCCCAGGATTGATATTTGTTGCATTTATTTATAATTAATGATATGAATCGCATGTATTGAACTATTTTTCTGGAATCAAAAATTAGTGTAATGCAATAATTCAAATCGAAAACACATTGGTGTATTATTAAGGAAACATTGTCCCCCCCCCCCCCCCCACACCAACTTTACACATGTGCTGCACCACCCATTTTCTGAAAAATTGTTTCTCAAGCCCTCTCCAAGTTCTCATGCAAACTTTCATACAAAATCCCCATTTTACCCTTCTCCACTCCTCCCACGCGAGTTCTGGTTCCCCTCTATCGCCTCCCCCGCCCCGTTCCTCCCGCCCCGCCTCCCTCCCCCCCCACTCCTCCCCGCCTCCGTTCTCCAAGCATTTTCAGATGATGGGGGCTTGGCGAAGATGCTGGACGTGGCCCACGTGCCAATGGGGGAGGAGAAGGATGTGCTAATAGTTTTCGTTTAAGCTCAATGTGTGAACTGTAATAGTTAACATGTTATATATAATAGTTAACATGTTATCTATAACAGTTAATATGTTATCTATAACAGTTAACATCCGTTGGCATGAGAAAGAGAAGAGGGTAAAATCGGATTTTTAGGAGCTAACATGTCTAATCATGAGCTGATATGTCTAATCATGAGCTGGAATCATGATGGAGGGGTCTGGACATAATTTTTTTTAAAAAATGTACTGAAGCACATTAAAAAAAAGGAGGGGCTGTGACACATTGAAAGTTCAAATTTGGGGCCTAGATATAATTGTTCCTATTATTAATATAGTAACTTAGAAAATTTTCCCCCTCACCATTTGCTTAGCGATTTGAGTTTGACTCCAGAGATAATCTATTCGTTCACAATATAAAATTTTCGCATTCTTGTAATTAATTGAAGTAAAAGATTATCATCTGCCCTATGAGAGTTACATTCTTACAACTTTTATTTAAATTATAATCTTTATTTAAATTATAAATAGTTGCTAAAGGATGAGACATATATAAAACACATACGTTCTGTTCCCAATCTTAAGTCTTATCAAATAATAAAAAGAAGTATGAGATAAATTATAAGAGTTTATGTGTGAGAACTTACAGGATTTTGAAAATAGTTATGCAAATAAACTATTACTTTTGAGGATGATAATTGGGTTATAATTTCATGGATTTGGCGAAGATTATTGTGAAAATTCAAATCTTTTAGGGACATAGCTGTGAAAACTGGACCTCAGAGCCATTGAACTTGTGACCTATCTATCCATCACACACCAATAGTAGAATAATCATATCATGTCATATCATATCATACTTATTTTAAAAGCACGAGTTGGTGAAAATCTTTCTATGATCAATATTATCCTTCACTATTTTAAATATTTTATTTATATATTAATTTATCCTAATCATAATTATATCCTATCTAAATCATACGTGAACTATCTATAGCTTAACAATTTAAAAATATTATATTAATAAACTATTTAAAACATTTTTTATGGTATTAGTTTGTAAAGATAAAGATATTATACGTAATCATAATTATATCCTATTCTAATCTTACATGAACTATCTATAGCTTAACAATTTAAAAAAATATATTAAAAAAATATTTAAAATATCTTTTTATGGTATTAGTTTGTAAAGATAAAAAAATTCTACGTAGCTAACGTACTATAATACATAAAGTATTGCAAAAAACCTAAAAAGTTTTAAAATTACACAAAATACTCTGAAATGTTTAAAATTATAAAAACTATACCGTCGTTTAAAAACTTAAAACAACAAACATAAAATCAAGAAATTAACAACGAAGAATTTAAAATCTACGGTTAACATCTTATTATCTCAAAAATAATAGAAACACCCTCAAAAGTTTAAATTATAAATAAGCATCTAAAATTGTAAAATTTTAAAACTTACCGTAGGCGTCAAAAAATGCTGAAAGATATCCAAATACAGCTGGGGAGAAGATCATCCAAAAAATCAACAAAAGAACACAAGTATAGACTGTCTCGCCGTGCGAGACAGCCTTTGCTGTCTCGCCGTGCGAGACAGGCTTTGCTGTCTCGCCGTGCGAGACAGACTTTGCTGTCTCGCACGCGAGACAGCTTTCAAAAGATTAGAAATTGGTTTTGTAACTGCCCCACACGTGGCCATCAACTGTTCAAGAACGTGGGAAACGTCGTGGGCGAGAATCACGTTGATAACTGCCAAAATAACAGAGTTGGAAACGTGGAAAGGCAGTTAAAACGAAAAAACTGCCGGCGATTACTGTTTCCGAGACAGTGTTTACTGTCTCGTTGACTTGATTTCAAGAAGAACGACTATCTTACATCGATAAGATATCGTTTCAATTTCTCACTTCGATAAACGAAGTCAGAATCATAAACCCCTCACGGTTCAATCAGAATCTGTGATTTGGTGGTCCACGAGTCAAAGCGCTCCCGGCACAGGCAAAGATCCCACGAAAGCAGTGATCCAAACAACGATCCTGCGTTTATTTTCTCAAGAGTTGTAATTTTCTTTTTGTTGTGTAAAAGAGTCTTATAAAAAGGCTGTTTTCTTTGAATTTATTGTAATCGACCGAAGATATAATGAATTCGACAACAAATTCGACTTTTGGCGAAAACAAACTGGCGACCACAGTGGGAGCCAACGGTCTCGCTGCCGAGACCGTCGTGTCGCAGCCGATCAAGATTCCAGTTGAATCCATGGTCGAATACGAATTCGACCAAACCAAGTTTGAGGAATATTTCTCATCATCCTCTTCAAGATCTTCATTGTCTCGCAAGTACAAGAGGATCTCACAATTGAGGAAGACTTACATGCCAAAGAAGGCACAAAATGAAGACTCTTGCTTGATTGTTGCTGAGAATTTCACTCGCAACACCTCTGCTCACAATGGCTCTTATCTAGTTAAAGAGTCATCGAATCAAAGCACGCCGACATTGACGAAAAGAGCTCGTCAGAGACAACGCCAACGCCACGCTCGCCAAATGGCTAAGGCATTGGAACAAACCGACGGGGTTCGTTACCACGCGGACCTAGAGTCGAGGAGACATCGAGTGGTTCAGTTGTCTCAACAACCAATCATTCATGTCTCTGCTAAACTCACGACGGAGGAATGGACTATTGTCAAAAGGACTCGTTCGACCCTCAAAGAACGTATACAAAAACGTCGTGCAAATGCTGCTCATGTCCGAATTCTCCTACAACAAAGACGAGAAAGGAGGAAGGAAACGGTGACCAAAGAATCACCAAAACTCCGCCAAGTTTGGATTCTGAAGTCTGGACTTATGCAAAATCAGCATTCGGAGCCCGTTAAGACTCCATACCCGCAAGGGGGTGGTTTTAGACGTGCGACTCCTGACATAACCTTGGATCGCTCAAGGACAAAAATAAATTGTCCTGAGAATGCCAACAAGGTTTTATACCCCCAGAAGAAGACGCATTCACCAAATGATATCGTCATACCTGGGAGATCATACCAACAGACGATACGATTTTTTGGCAATCATACCGATGAATCGTATTATCAAGTTGAAGTTGTGAATAATTTTCGAAAGAGAGTTATTCGAGAGATAAACTCTCGTTGTTCCTGTGCGCGACTCGTTAAAACAGCATTATCAGAATGTGACTGTTTCAAACGAGAAGTCATCCCACGAAAAGTCTCTGTATTATCGAAACCTAAGCCGAGACATTTCCGCAAAAGAAGAGCAGCTGTCCAAAATGATGAATTCCCTGAAGTCACCATCAACGTGGCTGATAGAAGAAAGTCTAAACAGCATTCAAGTGACTCAAATCCCGACTTTTCCCCGAAAGGAAAAGTCAATCCAAGAATTGCTCAAAGGATGTCTCGACTCCAATTAGGAGCTATCAGACGCAGAGACTACAAGAGAATGCAAGAAGGAATGTCCTCGGATGATGAATTCTCAGACACTTGTTCAGCCATTGCTTCTGATGATACAATGTCTAGCACAGGACAAACCAGAGAAGTACTCACGATCACCTCTGATTAATTTGCTCAAATGCTTCAAGAAGCTCTAACAAAGCAACGTGAAGAAATTAGAGCTGGGATAAATACAGAGATGGGGTTAGCTATTCAACAAATGAGAGAGTTGCTAACTCAACAACCTCAACCTCCTGAGTCCAATCAGCGAGCTGAATCCAGCCATCACACTCGGAATGTTGTAGATGACAGTGATCCAGAGGTGGATGAAGTCATTATGGCTGATACACCTCCCAATGGCAATAACGCTGGGGGTGGTTTAACGGATCCTCCCAATAACGATATTGGGGGTGGTTCAATAGCACCTCTCACTGGGGGTGGTCCAATTATCTTTACTCGACATCATTCAGAAAGAAATGAAGACGATGACGGGAAAATGCAAAAACTTGAAGACAAAATCAATGCTTTGATGACGGCTCAAGAAGTTAAGAAGACGGGTATTCCATGTCCTTATCCGAGGGAATGGGATTCAATACCATACCCGACCAAATTCAATCTGATTAACTTCACACCGTTTGAAGGGAAGAGTTCGCCGATTCAACACTTGATTTATTTCAAGTCTCATTTAGGCATGATTTCTGGAAACGATGCTTTAATGGTTCGGTCATTCGTTGGCACCCTTCGTGGGCCCGCATTCGATTGGTACCGACGGCTCAAGCCAGGGAGCATCAATTGCTGGGATGACATGGAAAGTTTGTTCCTC